CTGGCAGGGCTGTGTGCACCAGGCAGAAACATCTGGGCTCCATCTCCAAGTAGGGAGTGGCTGAAGGGTTTGGGCAAGCAGCAGAAGGGTAGTGCCAGGCTTAGCCTGAGCAGGTGGGTGGAGGGCAGCACCATGGACCCAGCTAGTCCCACTTGCAGCAGGAGGAGGCACTGGCTTTAGTCAGGAGAGTGTTGAGTTTGAGGAGCATCTATCTCCACACCAGGGACCAGGAGGGTCTTAATAAAATGCAAGCCCAGCCAGGCTCCTGCCTGAGCCCACGGGGGCTCACAGGGCCTGGCCCATGCAGAACTCTCTAGTCTTTTCTGGAGTGGCATGCCTCCCTCCTGCTTCTGCACCACCCTTCCTCTGCCAGCCCAGCCCATCTCTTCCCTTTTTCTCTCAGCTGTCATTCACATAACATAAAATTCACCCCTTTAAAGCGAACATTTCAGTGGGTTTCAGTATATTCACAACGTGGTACAACTGTCATCACTGTCTAGTCCCAGAACATTTCATCACTCCAAAAAAGAAATCATGGATGCAGGTCCCCCCCATTCCCCCCACCCCCCAGGCCCCAGCCCCTGGCAACCACTAGCCAACTTCCTGTCCCTATAGATGTACATATTCTGGACATTTCCTATCAGTGCAGTCATGTCACTTGTGATCATTTGTGTCTGGCTTCCTTCACTGAGCGTAATGTCTTTAAGGTTCATCTATACGGCAGCGTATGTCAGAGCTTCCTTCCTTTTTTACGGCTGAATCATATTCCAGTGCATGGATGGACCACACTGTGTTTATCCGTTCATCCATCAGTGGACATTGGATTGTTTCCACTGTTTGGTATGAATGACGCTGCTGTGAAGAGTCATGTATAAGTTTTCATGTGGACATATGTTTCCCATTCTTTTGGGTAGATAGCTAGGAGCAGAATTGCTGGGTCATATGGGAACTCCATATTTAACTCTTTAAGGAGCTGCCAGATGGTGTTCCACTCTATCTGTTCTTTGAAGCGTGTCTCTCAATCTGTAAGAGAAAGCTCGGATGATGGTTTCTTACTCTTGATGCCCCGTGCGCTCGGGAGGGCAGCGGCTCTGTCAGTCTTTGCTCAGTGCGGTGCCCAGCACCTGGTAGGCATTCAGCAAACATCGGTGGGTGGGCAGGTGGGTGCAGTTCCTCAGATATTTCTGAAGTCCTATGCTGTAGGCCCAGTGCAGGCTACCACAGTAGTGGGGACCCAGACAGGGGCGGTTCTTGCCCCGGTGGGGGATCTGATGGCGATATTCGGGAGCCAGTTGGCAATCTCAGATGGTGCTCAGGAGAAAGGACAAGCTGGGAAAAGGAGGCATATATGTGGTCATTTAAGCCTCGAGAGGGAGACCACCAAGGGCATGAAGGGACAGGGGCCAAGGCAGGGTCCGTGGAGGAGGGGGTGCCATGCAGGAGACTGAAAGGCCCTAGCAGAAAAGTAGGAGAGCAGCCAGGCGCCCAGCCTCTCTGAAGCTAGCTGGAAAAGGATTGCAAGAAGGAGGAAGCAGGACTGGCAGTGTGCAAACACCCCTGCGGAGGAAAGAGAAAGGGTGGTGGAGAGCACCCGGCAGCTGAGCCTTTCTGCCCCAGCTCACTGGCAGTCTCTTCCCACCCCGCTGGGTTGGTTCAGCCTCATAAGCCATTGGCCACCCTGCAGGGGGGTGGGTGTGTGGAGGGTGGTAATGCCAGCAGACACAGGGGTAGGTGGCCCGCTGCCTACTCTGCAGGACCCAGGACCCCCTTTAAGTGGCTGAGGTGGAGCAGAGGCAAAGGGGATTGACGTCGAGGATGCTGAGAGGCTGGGACCTCAGACCCAGTGGGCCCTGTGCATGGATCCCAAAGGACTGTGGCCCCTCCACACTCAAGGGCACCTGCCTTGTCTCGGGGTCTCTGTACCCATCCAGCAAGGGTGGGATGGCTGTGGAGGCGGTGTCTCATCTGCCTCTTTCTCTTCCATATCGCTGGGCCTACAACAGTGCCTGGGCTTCAGATGGCCCTCAGGGAGCATCAGGGAAGGAACAGTTGAGCCAGTAAGAGTTGCAGCGCTCTGGAAGGGAGGCCAGGCCACCCACAGAGCTAGGAGGGCAGCAAGCCAGTGTCCATCCCAATCTACTCAGTCCCAAGGGTGGCAAGATCTGGTCAGTGCAGGAAGTGTGCGTGTGTGTGTGCATGTGAGAATGTGGGTGTGAGTGAGATGGTGTGGATGTGTATGAGTGTGTCTGTGGGTGCATCCGTGTGCATGGGTGCGAGATCGTGTGTGTCCGTGTGTGCACGCACACACAGGAGAGTGGGTAGAAGAGTGCATGAGTGTGTGGGGTGCGAAATAGTGTGTGAGTGTAGCTAAGTATGTGTGGGTGTGTGAGTGTCAATTACATGAGTGTATTACATGAGTGTGTACAAGATGTGAGTGTGTGTGTCTGTGTATATGTGTGCATCAGGAGGATGACTTCCAGGGCCAGGCCGTGTTTAGTCTGGCGATGAGTCAAGAGAAAGTTCCTGAGGGATCAGAAGATTCTGCCTCTCAGACTGCAAATTTCAGCCTTATGTATTGAATCAATTTTATTTCCTGTATGAAATTCACATTAATATGTGATAAATAGCTGAACAAACTCTGCTAGTGGCTGGCCCCCGGTTCTGTTTTTAAATCAGAAACCCAGAGTTGAACCATTCTCTTGGGCCCTTTAGGGGCAGCAGTGGGGGTGCTAATGCACTCCAAGGCTTGGATCTCCTGGGCTCAGCAAGGAGACAGTGGGCTCTGACCACTACACTGGCCACATGTGGTCTCTTTCTCTAGAGCCCCCACTGCTCCCCCAACCCAGCCATGCTTAGGAGGCTGCAGTCCTCACCTCCACCGCATCTTCCCCATCTCCCAAATCTGACGTTGGGAAACCCACACTGCCTTCCCAGCCGCTCCCTGCCCAGAGAGATCCTTCTAGGTCAGCACTTCTTGTCCACAGCCCCTCTCTGCCCTGGCTGGTCACAGACTTCGACCCTGTGGTAGGCCCCAGAGTGGCCCCCACTGTCCCTCTCTCAGGAGAGATTAACTCCTGGCTAGACGGTGCACAGGTGGCTTGGTCTTTGGGCCAGTCATCCCCGGCCAGCCAAGCGATGGGAAGAAAAAGTCTTCCAGTTCCGCCGGCATGTGCCACCTAGAGTTTGTACCGCTCACCAAAGCCAGAGCCCTCGGCACCCAACAGAACTGGAGAGCCTTTGGGAGCCAGAGGCGGAACCAGTGGCCCCAAGGAGCCACAGAGACCAGGGAAGGGAGGGTTCTGGGCCCCCTACAAGGGGAAGAAGAATGATGCCCACCTCTCCCACGCCCCATGACAGGGCAGCACAAGGGAAGGAAGCTAGAATCAAGTGCATGGTCAGGGTCAAGCCCAGGGTCAAGCCCAGGGGACCTCAGGTGCTGGTTGGGGTCTGAGTTTGGATTGCGAGTAGGTGCCCAGAGACCTGATGGCAGGTATGAAATGGTGTCCTGTTGTCCTGTCATCGTCCTTCTGCTGCCCAGGGGACCGGATGCCCCCTCTCCATGGACTGGACAAGGGCCCCTCTGTGGGCTGAGCTGTCAGAGCCAGGTCAGGTGGGGTCCAAGGGCAATAGTGGATTCCTGGTTCAGAGTATGCAGGGGAGTAGGTGGGCATGAAGGAGCCATCCAAAGTGACAGTGAGGGAAGCAGCATTTCCTTCCTGCCTCCATGGCCCTGGAGATCCCCATCTTCTTCGACCCTTGATGCTAGCCTGGGCTTACCAGAAGCATGACTGAGTAGAAGGAACACCACCCCCGGCCCCTGCCTCTGCTCCCCTAGCCATTTCTAACCCCTAAACCCTCCCACCAGGGTGATGCCTGCTTCTGCCCACAGCCCCCACACCTGGCATAGCAGAACCCTGGAGCCCAGCTAGACCGGGGCCTTGGCCCTCGCCCTGGAATGAATAAGAATGGCCAGCAGCGAGGGAGGGAGCAGTCATTAAGTATCAGGCACTGTTCTCCCATGTGACATGTGGTGGCTTGCTCAGTTCTCACGGCCACCCTCTGAAGTTGGTCCCGTATGATCCTCAGTCTTTGGAGACTCAGAGAAGCCAAGTGACTGGCCCAAGGCCACACAGCTGGTTGAGGGGGAGCAACGATTCGGACCCAGTTTGTTGGAGTCCAGAGCCTTGGCTTTCGGCCTGCTGCTGAGCTGCCTCTCCTGAAGCAGGCAGAAAGCAAGAGGCCGGTGTTCTTGAAGCTCCCAGGAGGGTGGGGCCGGACCACCCCAAGAAGAACAGGACCAATGGGCCTGGCCCGCACCCGGCACGCAGCAGCAGGCCGCGGTCAGGGTACTGGTGAGAGCCTGTGGCTCTCGCTCTGCAGCCATTGGGGCGGATTCCCAGCACTTTGACACGTCCATCCCTGGCTTCCCAGCCCAAGGGGAGTCGACTCTTCCGGCTGTTGGCAGCAACGGACAATTAACAGTAGAGAATAATTGCTTCTGGCTGTGCCAGCAACCCACTTTGGTTGATGAGACGGGGAAGGTCAGATGCTGAGGCAGGGCTCCCAGGACCGGCCACAGCCAGACAGGGACCGAGGCTGTCAGGAAGGGCCACTGAAGCAGGGGCTTCTGCACCCCCAAGGTCTGAGTGACAGGGACCCTTGGCCCCTGGCCCTGCTGAAGACTCAGGAGGGTCAAGCTGAGACTTGGCCTTCATGCTCAGGGACAGCAGGACAGCTCGGGCCCTGGCTGTGGTCCTTCTGTCTCTGTCCACGCATCTGAACACAGGCAGGGCTCCTGGTAGCTAGCATCTGGAGTAGAAGGAGCCAGCACGGCCATCCGCTGGGCTGGAGTGTGTGGGGATGAGGGGTACACCGAGTGGACAGACCAGCCCTGGGTGAGGAAACATACCCAGGTGAGCAGCAGGCTCAGCTGCCCAGAGCCTGCAGGACAGGGTAAGGCACCCCACCCGGTGCTGACCACCCGTGTCTCCGGTCCCCAGATAGAGCTGTGACCTGGCCCTGCTCGCAGCTGTTGAGCCTGTCCACCATGGCGAGCCCCACTCTGAGCCCCGACTCCTCATCCCAGGAGGCCCTGTCGGCTCCCACCTGCTCTCCCACCTCTGACTCTGAGAACCTCAGCCCCGATGAGCTGGAGCTGCTGGCCAAGCTTGAAGAGCAGAACCGGTGAGTTGGGGCCTGGGGGATGGGGAGTGGCCTCGGAGGGGTGGGTGCAGCCTGGGCCCCAAACAGAAGTTCCTGGTGGCCCTCTCACACTCAGAACTGGGCCTGGCCCTGGGCAAAGGAACAGCTCCCACCAGAGGCTTGACAGGGGCCGTGTCCTTGTTCTCTCACCCGTGGATGAACAGACAGTTTCCCCATTCAGATGAGACCAAGGTTTCAAGAGGCCGTGTGAACCTGGCCTTCGCCTACTGAGCCTCTGTTGGAGGGAAGAGCAAAGCCTCTGACTCAGCCAGGCCTTGCCACCTTTCCCCTCTGGCCCTCCCCCTGTTTTAAAATGTAGGTGTTGTTATTATAAATCAGATATGGCAGGGACAACAGGTCCAGAGTTTGTTACTCACGGTCCCTAAGAGGTGGCGGGGCGGGGGGGCGCCACACCATGTGGAGCTAAACAAGAAAGCACCAGGGTCAGTCAGGGGGCAGAGGGAGTGAGGGAAAATGTGAGCAAGAGCCTTTGTTGTGGTTTCTGCGAGGACCAGCAAGGACCAGCAAGGCCGCAAGGCCGCAAGGCCGTGTGATAAAACTGGCTCGTTTAAATAATCTCAGCGGACTCTGGGGTGGGGGCTAGCCCTAGTTGTCTGCCACCTGGCCCTGGGGGGGATCAGAGAAGGGGAGGTAGTTGGTTTGTGGGTTCTAGATTGGCTGGTTTGCATAGGAAAGGGACACTGGCAGGCAAGTCCTTAACTATCTCTAGGAATCTGCTAGGCCTGCATGGGCAGTCCCTGCAGGGTCAGCAAGGTCCCAGATGCTGGAGCTGCAGAAACGTGTGGTAATAGAGCCTCTTGCCAGCTGGCTGCCCCCGGCCAGTGGCTCGCCCTCTCTACACCTGGCCTGTAAAGCACAGATCTTAACGAAACCTGCCCTGCTGGCTTGATACAAGACTAAGTCATCTCCTATACATGCTTCTCAGCCTAGTGCTAGACACAGAATGGGACACTCAGAAGGCAGACTCTCCAGGGGCCCAGGAATAAGGACGCAGCTTAGAGAGTTTAGAGCACCAGCCAAGGTCACCAGCAAGAACAATTTAGACCCAATCCCTGGCGGCCTCCGGGGCTCCTGAGAGGAGCAGCCGGGCTCCCCAGCGGCGCCCTGGCCCCAGGGCGTCTCTAGAGACTAAGGGCTGGGCCAGGAGGTGCCCGCAGCCTGGGCCCGCCTCCACCAGCCCTCCCTGCCCAGGCTCCTGGAAGCCGACTCCAAGTCCATGCGCTCCATGAACGGCTCCCGGCGGAACAGCGGCTCCTCGCTGGTGTCCAGCTCCTCGGCCTCCTCCAACCTGAGCCACCTGGAGGAGGACACGTGGATCCTGTGGGGCCGGATCGCCAACGAGTGGGAGGAGTGGCGGCGCAGGAAAGAGAAGCTGCTGAAGGTGGGCGGGGCCTGTGGGGCTGGGCGGGGCCGGCCGGGCCACAGCGGGTGGGGATGGCGAGGCAAAAGTAGCTGTCACGCTGGCGTCTCAGGTGCCCGTCTGTTTCCTGCCCTGCTCTGTCCCGTGACGGACTGGGGACAGCACGTTAAGCAGAATGTATTCTGTTTGCCGCACAGTGGCTCAGCCAGCTCTGGGCTGCAGGCGAGGCAGAGGACAGCCCCGTCCTAGGGGCTGGCCTGGGTGGCCGTGGGGAAGGCTGCCCCGGGACAGGGTCCAGCCCAGCCTCCTGCTCCCCCTGCCCCGCCCCGCTGTCAGGAGCTGATCCGCAAGGGCATCCCACACCACTTCCGGGCCATCGTGTGGCAGCTCCTGTGCAGTGCCACAGACATGCCAGTCAAGAACCAGTACTCGGAGCTACTCAAGATGTCCTCGCCGTGTGAGAAGCTGATCCGCAGGGACATTGCCCGCACCTACCCAGAGCACGAGTTCTTCAAGGGCCAGGACAGCCTGGGCCAGGAGGTCCTCTTCAACGTCATGAAGGTGAGGCCCGGGGCCTTCGGGGCCTTCCCTACCCGGGCCCCTGCCAGGGTTGGCCTGCCGGGGGGTGAGGGGTGGGGGGTGCTGCTGTGACGCACGTGTGTTCCCTTGCAGGCTTACTCCCTGGTGGACAGGGAGGTGGGCTACTGCCAGGGCAGCGCCTTCATCGTGGGCCTGCTCCTCATGCAGGTAGGTGGCTGCGGCCAGCCAGCCTTGGGCTCTGCCCCCAGGAGGTGGGCAGAAGCAGGGTTCCCTCCATCCATGGTCCTCCTAGGGGCCAGAGCTTCCCTCTCCATCTGCCTACGACTTCTGCCAGTCTCCAGGCCAAGCCACCAGTGGGTGGGCGCAGAGGGGCTGGCCACCGGCACTGTCCAGGGGCCAGAACTCAGGCAGGGGGCTTAGGTCAGCCAGTATTAGTTGCGTTGGGGATTTCTTCCAGAGAACCCAGCAGACTCAGGAGGCGAGAATGGAGACAGCTGGGGGCGGGGGGACCAGAGGGTGTCTCACCTTGGGCTCTGGAGGTGGGCAGGCCTGGGTGTCAAGTCCCAGCGCCACTGTTTCCTACCGGGCGGTCTGTGGCAGGTGACCTCAGCCTCAGGAGGTTTCCCATCAGTAAAACCCAGGTGACGATACTGACCAGAGGCTTGTTATGAGGGTCCAGGCCGCCCACACAGTCCATGTCCTGTAAATCTAAATGGAACAGAAGCAGGCAAAGCCCTGCACACCAGGGCCATAAGAAGAGCAGCGAGCACCCCCTCCCACCCTGCCTGCCCCCTCCCCCCCCACCACAGATGCCTGAGGAGGAAGCCTTCTGTGTATTCGTGCGGCTGATGCAGGAGTACCGCCTGAGGGAGCTCTTCAAGCCCAGCATGGCGGAACTGGGGCTCTGCATCTACCAGTTCGAGTACATGCTACAGGTGAGCGGCGGCCGGGGGTGGTCTGCACCCACCCACTCTTCTCTGTTGGACTACACCCATGGGCACTAACCTAGGGCATCCCCATTTCCGTCTCTTTGAGAATCCCAGGGCCAAGAAGTCGCATGCATGTTCCAGCTAAGAAAGGGATCCTATGCTGGTGAGGCTGTGGGGTACTGTCCCGAAGGGTGCCTCCAGGGACAGGGCAAGGACCAGCCATTGATGGTGGGGGCTCCCAGAGCTGCTAGGAGAAGAGGGGTCAGGCTGGCTCTTATCAGATACACCACCGGCCCCTCCCTGGCTGCTCCCCAGGGGCGGGAGTAGGGAAAGTGTTGTCTGCCTGCCTTTGCTGATACTGGAGAGCAGCCGACTCTGTTTATAAATAGCAGCCCCTACAGGGCCTGCCCCTGGCTAGCAGACAAAGACTGGGTGTGTGTGCGTGCATGTACACACGCACGCGTGCGTGCGCATGCCTGCACGTGCACACAGGGCCTGCTTCAGAAGCTGTCGCAGGTGGGGCTGTCTAGCTCAATGTAGCAGTGGGCAGGAAGGTACTGTCGCTTGAGGGGACCTGGTAGTGTTGACAAGCAGATGGCCCAGGCCACAGAGAAGAAGCCACCTGCCCCAGGCCGGGTAGGCAAGGCCATCCACAGCAGAATAGGGGGACAGGACCAGAGAACTCCTGGCTGTGGGACGAAGCCCCAGGGCAAGTGGGGAGACAGCCCCAGAGTCCATTCTCTCTTGGTGAAGGACATCCAGGGGCTCCTGACACTTTGTCCAGCCCCAGTTTCCCCAATTTCTGTCCCTTTTCAGCAGTCTGAAGTTCAGGCCCATCAGACAGGCATCCTCTGAGAACTGCTGGGAGCCAAGCATGGTGGGGCAGGGGGCGCCACTGTGGGTGGACACAGCAACTGGCAGGTCACAAAATATGGGGTGAGCTGCAGTGAGCTCACTACCCCACCCCACCCCTCGCTCTCTGGGTGAACTTGGGGAGTTACATAACCACATAACCATCCTCCCCCCCGCCACCCCGAGCCCTAGAAGCTCCCTCTTGAGGCGGTGGTGAGGATCCCATAAGCGTTGTGCCAGTGCCTACCAGTATACCCAGCCCCCCCCCAGCTGCCGCTACTCCTGCCACCCCTGCCTATGCCCCCACCTCGTGCCACTCAGAACTCTCGGGTGCTTCAGCCTCACCCAAACACAGTGCCAGGGGCACACAGAGGAAGGGAGCCACAGGCTGCCCAGGGCGGGCCAGGAAGTCTCCCTGGAGGCCGGGGCACTGAGGCCCCGCACTTGTGCCCAGCAGCCTCCTCACGGTGCCTGGCCTTCTCCTCCCACCCTGTCACTCCAGGAGCAGCTCCCAGATCTGAACACCCACTTCCGCTCCCAGAGCTTCCACACGTCCATGTATGCCTCGTCCTGGTTTCTCACGCTCTTCCTGACCACTTTCCCGCTACCTGTTGCCACCCGTGTCTTCGACATCTTCATGTACGAGGTGAGGACCCCAAACACCCCTTCGTCTCCCAGATACCCGACATGGGAAACAAATCCCAGCCAGGCCCAGGCTAAGGAAGGGCCAGGGCTTGGAGGGATTGGGGGGGGGGGGTCAGACAGCCCCCCCCCCCCCCGGGAGAGCAGGATCGGAGACTCACTGCCATCATCCCCTTTGCAGGGCCTGGAGATTGTGTTCCGGGTGGGCCTTGCCCTGCTGCAGGTGAACCAGACAGAGCTGATGCAGCTGGACATGGAGGGGATGTCCCAGGTGGGCCAGGAGGCCCGGGTGGGTGGGATTCCCTTATCCCAGCGCCTCCCCCCGCTGCCCAGGCAGGTGAAGTCCTCCTGAGAGATGGGGAAGGGCCTGGCTGCAAGGGCAAAAGGTGTTCCTGAGCATCCTGCTCCTTTCACGATTCCCTGAGGCCTTCCTGGAGGACAAGGTGGGCTCTGAGGAGCAGCCTGGCTACTCGGGGGTCGGGGGGGAAATGGTGGAAGGCCTAGGCTTAGGCCAAGCCCTAGGAGGTCCCACCCCCCTCTCCTGCTCCCAGCTCTGGGTCCTCCAAAGTCTAATGGGGCAAACAGTGATAGCAGCCAAACCATCAGGCCTTGGCTGTGGTTTGGGCCCCGGCAGCTGGGCCAGGCGAGGGCACGGGCGGGAGTGAGGGGGCTGGGGCAGCTGCAGAGGAGGCCAGCCGGCTTTCCCGCCACATCCGCGTCACACAGGCCCCTCCCCCTGCCAGCATCTTCCAGCTGGTGCTTCGGGGAAGAATGCACAAAGGCCACGGCTGTGTCCATGAACACGGGCATCCATTGTGTGCCGCTGCCAGAGGGGGCCAGCTGGGCTGAGGAGCGCGAGCCAGCCTGGCCCCAAACCGCAGCAAGCTGTGTCCTCCGTTGGAGCTGGTGCTTAACCCTTTGCCAGGGCTCCTGGGGCCACAGGCGTGCAGGCTGACCACCAAGGGGTCTTCCCTCCAGGCCGCTCCCACTGCCCCTACTCTTCACACTCTTGAGCCTCTCACTGCCCTGGGGCAGTGACACGCCTCCCCCCTCTTCTGCAAAAGTCCCTGCGCTCAGACCCCACCACCACCCGGCCTCTGCCCGCGGGAGCTGCCGAAGCCCTGCTTTTCCCCTGAAGACGGCAGTCCTGACTTCAGGTGCTGCTTCCTCCCAATGCACGCCCAGCCCTGCTTCTCGCACTTACTCGCTCCACACGCACTGACAGAGTGCCCATGGCAGGCTGGGCCCTGAGCTGGGACATGGTGACGCCCCTGGCAGACCAGCTCGTCCTGCAGGGAAGCGGGGTACAGCAGGGCTCTGGCGGCCCCCCCGAGTCAGGTCCTGTGTGTCAGGGACGGCCTGTGCCCCCCACAGTACTTCCAGAGGGTGATCCCCCACCAGTTCGACAGCTGCCCAGACAAGCTGATCCTCAAGGCTTACCAGGTCAAGTACAACCCCAAGAAGATGAAGAGGTCAGTACCAGGCGGCCGGGGTGCTGGCAGAAAGGGGTCCCCGAGAGTGGGACGGCAACCACATCGGCTCTCCCCCCTGCAGGCTGGAGAAGGAGTATGCAGCCATGAAGAGCAAGGAGATGGAGGAGCAGATTGAGATCAAAGTGAGTCTCCAGGGAGGTGTGGGGACAGGGACAGGATGGCCTTGGGAGTGCAGCCTGGCCCAAGCCACGTACCAGCCTGTCCTCAGAATTGGAGGCGTCGTCCCTCCACCCACCTGCCCCTTTGTTCACCAGCAAGCCAGCATGTGAGCCAGGGCCCACCCCAGGGCTGGAGACCCGTCCCAGGGCTGGAGACCCGTCCCAGGGCTGGAGACCCGTCCCAGGGCTGGAGTGGCAAATAAGGTGGATAGGTCCCTGCCCTCATGGGACCCCCCAGTTATAATGGGGAGATGGTTGGGGAACCCATAGATACAGAGTATGGACTCCAGAAAGTATTCTGGATGAAAACGTGCAGGAGAGAGGTGGAGCTGACCCCGGGGAAGATTGCTCCAGGCCCACGGAGCCAGTGCAAAAGGCTGAGCAGCAGAAGGCCTGATGGACTAAAGGAACATCAGGACTAGGGAGTCTCAGGAAGGCTGCCTCAGTGGGTGCAACCCTGAGGTCAGGGCCAGGCAGGAGCCAGCCATGTCGGACAGAGTCCCAGACTCTCCTCCCTCTCCTTCTTTCTGCTTTCATCCTTCCACACGTGATTTTAGTTATTCACACAATAAGCATTTATTGAGCACCTGCTGTGTGCCAGAGTCACAGCAGAGACTGAGCACCCCCCCAATCCAGCAAGAGGGACAGACACAAACACATACCCCTGGCTTTGTCCTCTTCAGGGACAGAGCCCCGCAAACCAGGATTCAACTCCCAGCTCTACCATGGACCAGCCATGTGACCCAGGAAGATTCACCTCTTTGAGCTTCAGTGTCCCCTTCTGCAAAATGGGGATAACATTTGCTCTGCTGTTCAAATTATTATAATTTATTAATTTTTATTTTTATTATCATCACCATTATCAACATCTCCACCTCCTTTAGAAAGGCAGAGGCAGAATCTAGATTAGAATCCAGGTAACCTGCCACCCATACCTGAAAGGGAGAGGACATCAGCGTCCTGACCCTGTTTGTAGGTTTTCCAGAAGTAGTTTTGTGTCCTGAGTTTGCAAGCATCCCCCTTTCTCAGGAATGGTAACTTGACTGATGCACCAGTCCAAACGTGGGTACCTGTCTTGCTCATGCACAGTCATGGGCCTGCCCCCATTGGTGACCATGAGGGCCCAGCAGTAGGTAGGGACACAGCTGACACTGAGACTATATGCCCCACCTGGAAACTTCCCCTCAGAGGAGCCTGAGAGCCCATAGGCCTTAAAGGATCCAGGCAGACGTCTTCACCCATGGCCCTGCCCTTTGCTCTTTCCCTTTTAGCCTGTTTCAAAACGTACCTGGAATTCGCTTTAATCAGGTGTGGTACGGTGACAGACACGGAGACAACACACGGACTGCCTTTGAAAGAAGAGTTTATTACTCACAGTTCCCGAAAGGAGGGGGCACGCCCCACCGTGCTTGGCCACATGGGGAAGCACCGGAGGCAGAGGGCAAGAGGGGCAAAGCATGGGCCAGCGCCTTTACTGTGGTCTCCACAGGAAGGAACGGGCAAGGCAGGGTAGTCAAGTTGGAGTTGAGGGTTGGTTCCTTTGAATAATTTCAGGAAGCTGCGGGCTACAGTGGGGTCCCTCGTTGTCCTGGGACAATTTAGGGCAGGGAGAACATTGGGCTTGGTGTGTGAGTGAGACAGGCAAGGTGGGTGGGTGGGGGCTCTGGGTTGGCTGGTTTGCATCTGAAAGGCGCACTAGCCTGCAGGTGGTTTGCTGTCTCTAGGAATTAGCTAGTCTGGGCAGGGCAGTCTCTCCAAGACTGGCCAGGTAGCTGGATGTCAAAGCATCAAAAATACAGAAGAAAAAAAAAAAAAACGCCTGATGCATATCTAGAGCCCAGAGTTCTTGCTCACTCCTTGTCTCATTTTCCCTTTGGAGTAAGCAGAAGAGAGGAGAGTTGTTGCTTGGGCACATCAAACTCCTCAAGGATCTCTGCACTTATGCAGTGGTGGGCCGAGGCCAGAGGTGGGGCAGAGCAATCCAAAGGTCAGGGGTGAGGATCTGGACTCCACATTCCAGATGTGGGGCAGAGACTTGTGCCTGAAACAGCTCTAATCCAGGCAAGCTGGGGGGCTCAGACAAGACAGTGCCCCCCCGATGCAGTTTCCCCACACATGACATCACTGAATGACTATCAATCACGTCTGTGATTCTCTCTGACTGCAGATGCTTCCCAGGAGTGTTCTGGGTGTTTCCATCACCTTCTTCCCGGAGAAAAACCAGAAAATGTTTTTTGTGATCCACAGGGAGGCAGGGCCCGCAATAATGGATGAATGTGGGGTCTCAGGGCTTCAGGAAGATGCTGGATCTGGTTGGTGTTCATTCAGCACACACTTAGGATTCAACTATCTGTACCTGCTCCTTCAAGGGTACATAGGTAGAGACTAAGATGCAAGGCATATATAAACCTCACTTTGCTTAAAACCAAATCCATCAGTGTAGGGGAGAAGGTGAAAAGCAAAGCAAGCTGCTTCCAGAACCCCAGCCGGGTTCTGAGCACAGCTGACTTTTGGTGGGTCATAGAAACATAGCCGTCCAGCTGAAGGAGGGCTGTGTGTTCAGCAAGACCCCCTCCCCTGGACCCAAACTCTGAGAACAGTTCATTCTGGTGCTGGAAGTGAAGCAGTGAGGGGAGGGAACGGAGAGGCCCAGAGGAAGGCCTGCCCTTGTGGGAGGTACCACACATCTCCCCAGGAGACTCCCCAGGAAGGCGAGGGTGCTGACCACTGACCCCTGACACACAGTGCATACCCATGAAAGCAATCACTTTATGAACCAAGGTTTGTTTAAAAAAAAAAAAAATCAAATGGGCCATGCTATATGGGAATTGGCCCTGTTTTCTGGGATCACTGATCCAGAGCATCTGATGATGGCTCTATCTTGCTTGGAGGCAGCCTGGCCCTTTAGATACGGGAGTGGGAGTGGGGTTCTGACATACTCCCCGCCTCTCCCCACATAGAGGCTTCGGACGGAGAACCGGCTCCTGAAACAACGGATCGAGACCCTGGAGAAGGTGAGGAGCGTGGCCACCAGCCTGTGGCACCAACTCCTCCAGGCCCCAAGCAGGACCCAGCAGCCAGAGGGCCAGCCAGCCCCCTGCCCGGACCTGGGCCCCACCTTGAACCAGCGGCCCCCGAGAAGCATGGTGCACATCCCATGCCCACGCCCCCCAACAAGCCCCACTGAGATTTGGGCTGCCATAGAACCAGGGGCATAGGGCAGCTTTGCTTGGGATTGGGTGTGAAATTACAACCCAGTTAACTGCAAACACGGGTCCCTCCTGGGCTGCCTGCGTGGGGGGAAGGAGGCAGACTGCTGCTTTGACTGAGGTGCCCTGAATTAGGCCACAGGCTCCCAACCCTGTAATTTGGAGGCCTCACCCTCAAAAGAAAGGAGGTAGAGTAGAGGAGGGGCGGCCTTACCACCAGTGCTGTGGTGGGGTGCCACAACCTTGACCCTGGCCCCCAACCTGTTTTTAAAGATGGGAGTAAAGGTGGGGAGGGGGCCCCTCTCCAGCTCTCACTTGGCCCCCCACTGCCCACAGGGAGTAGTCATCCACCGGAGTGTACTGCCCTGGCGCCAAAGCCTCGATTCTTACTCCAACTCCAAGTTAAAACACTTTCCCGTGGCCCGCTGCTGCCGCCCCATCCCTCAGCCTCCGGGGATGCGCCTCCTCCCGTGCGGAGCTTGCCAGGCCCTGGAGGCGGCAGCTGCGGGCACCCCCACCTGCCAACCACACACAGATCCCTCTCCAGGACGGAGCTAGCCTTGGCTTTGCTCTTCCTCCGGGTCCTCTCCTGCTGGTTCTTTGGTTCTCTGGTCTCACTCCTCTCTCCCCTGCTTCTAGAGATAGTCCACTGCGTTAGTGACAAGTGGTTCTTGTCTGTCTCTCCCCCTCTCCTGTCCCTGCGCCTTCCGCTCTGCCTCCTCCCCCTGTCGCTCGGAACCCCCTCCGCCGGGTAGGAGAGCGCTGCTCTGGCTGATAGGTTAATCCAGGTACTGTAGCTTTTCATGCCCCTCTCCCATGTCCGTCCTGGTCCCTGCACACCACAGCCAGGAACCACCTCTTCCTTGGCCGCTGCCAACCCGGGGGGCAGAAGGGGGCAGGCCTGGCACCATGCATGGGGGTGGCTGGGGACCGCTTCTCAGGGGAGACAGAGGTTTCTCTAGGGGGGGAAGAGGGGTGTGCGTGTGAAAGCATGGTGTGTGGGGGTAAGGGTGAGTCTGTGAATGTCTGTACATGCATGTGGACAGAAAGCTTCCTCCCTCCAGGGACACAGGTGGGGATCCTGAGTCTATATCAGCCACAGGCCCTGGTGTGTGCACTGCGCTGAGCCTCCCTACCCCCTACACACACACACACACACACACACACACACACACACACCCCACCCCTTCTGGCCCCTCACGCTCCTCTCCGCTCCTACCTGCAAGGCCTGCCATCTTCCCTCACCTGCTTCTGCTGCTGCCTCATCTCGAATGGCTTTATCTGGAAGCTTCTGCCTGCCACCTGGTGGCTCCGAGCCTGGAATGGGGGGACCCGAATTGGGTGGGTTGAGGGAATGAGGTGGGGGGCGAGGGGTCTTAGCCCCAGGTAGATGGAGGCCCCAGGATTCAGGACTGGAGAAGGTTCCAGAAGAGCTGTAATCCACCTGCCAACCCTGCCCTGAGGGCCAGTCCTGAGTCCCCGGGGCCTCTGCTGCCTCCAGACCACCCTCGCCAGTGGAGCCCCGTGGCTGCTGTGCCTCAGTCCCGAATAAGGATGGGTTCTCCTCACCTGGGACAGAGGCGGAGAGCCAGGAGCTGGCAGGGGAAGGAGCTGGCCGCGGCCCCAGCTTGGGGCCCCTGTTCTCCATTTAAGCCCCACAAAGCCTGGGCCTGGGGTGGGTCTGTGCCTTCAGGCTCCTCCCCATGTCCTGTTCCTGCCTGCCCCCACCCACAGGCCCAGACCCGGTGGGGCGCCCCATCCCAGGCTCTGAGTGCGGGAGACCTTGCCCCTCTCCCACCCCATGGCTGCCCTCTCGGGACCTCCCCCAGCGGTGGGCCCGAGGCAGGGCCTGGAGTGTGAGCAGAGGGTCACGTGTCCCGTCCTCGCTGTGCTCAGGGGCAGGTGACGCGGGCGCAGGAGGCCGAGGAGAACTATGTCATTAAGCGGGAGTTGGCCGTCGTGCGGCAGCAGTGCAGCTCAGCGGCCGAGGACCTGCAGAAGGCCCAGAGCACCATCCGGCAGCTTCAGGAGCAGCAGGTACCAGGCCAGGTGGGCGGGGCTGCATGCCACGCCACAGCTCCCGCCTTCTGGGTCTGCTCCCCCGGCCCTACATCCTGGCAGGGCTGGCGGGGGGGAAGGTAGGGGAGGAGAAACCCAGAGGAAGTGCAGATTCTCCCCCGGCAGATTCTCCTGGGGTCTCCATTTCCCCCCAGCCAGTGAGGTGTCTGGCCAGCCACACTGAGAACGAGACAGTGTCAGCACCAAGGGCCCCTGGGACCCAGGCTCTACCTGCAGGGCCCCCTCCCTCAGCTGATGTGGCTGTGACTCCTTAGGGGAGCCCTGGTGTGTCCCCAAGGTCAGAAGGGCTGTCAGGCTTCCCCAGGGGCCAGCCATGCAGGGGGGAGCTAGCACGAGAGACAGAGGAGGGGGTTCCCTGCTCCAGAGCCCAGCACTTTGCCCCCAGAAGAGGGTCTGGTCTGTGCCCACCACTCTGAGCTGGCAGAGTGGAGGGTGAGGGGGCGGCCCAAGTTGTACTGTGGAGTGAGGAACTCGGAATCATGGTGGGAGGGCCCTCAGGCCAGAGCACTGTGAAGAGTCCACTTCTCCAGCACGTGGCTTCTCGGATTTTCCTTCAGCTGTACCCAAGCCACCTTCCTTATTTGATGACCTGCCAGTGGCAGCGTGGCCAATGGGGAAACCAAGGCTGGGCTCATCCCAACCTTGGCACGATGCCCCCTTTGAGGCCAGGGAGACATTCCCCTGGCACCCCCGAGCTCCGCCTTTAGGGGCATCCCTCACCTACCGGCCAGGTCTTCACTGTCGAGCTGTTTTGAAATGGGGGTGTAATGAGAGGAAGGAGGTGGGGAAAGAGGGGCAGGAGCACCATAGCCCTGAGCCCCACCCTGCTCCCACCCCCACTGTGTGGTTAGGCGCTGACCACACAGCAGGAAGGGGGCCCAATCCTGGGAACCAGCCCCTGGCATCCCTCAGGGGGGCAGCCTGAGGCCATGGAAGGACCCCTTCAGGAGGTCCCCTCATTGTGGCTTTCCCAGGAAAGAGGCTAAGCCAGGACGGCGACACCCCTGGGCACAGAGCATCAGAACTCCCATGATGGGGCTCAGCTCTCTCCCCATGAGGTCAGAAGGCACACAGGAAGGGGATCCAGGGTTTCTCCTCACCCCCCACCCCACCTCTACCGGCAGCCTGAGCCCCTCTGCCAGCCCAGGGGCTTTGAGGAGGGGGGGCCAAGGCCTGGGCCCACAGCCAGTTGGCAGGAAGGCTGCATACCCTCCAGCTGCCGCCTGGGGCCTGACACAGCCCTCTGCCTGCCCCCAGGACAACCCGCGCCTCACCGAGGACTTCGTGGCCCACCTGGAGACTGAGCTGGAACAGTCGAGGCTACGGGAGACCGAGACGCTGGGGGCTCTGCGGGAGATGCAGGACAAGGTTCTAGACATGGAGAAGGTGAGACTGGGTGGGCAAGTGGGTAGGCATTCAGGGAATGGTGGGGAAGGGGAAGTGGAGGTACTGGGTGCACTTTGGGAGGTACATGACCAGGCCCTAGTCAAGAAGGGGTGACCAGGCAGACCTGCGGGGCACATCAGACCCCCCCCTGCCCTGCGGATCCCCCCAGAACCTAGGGAACCTCCCTGACCCACTGGTGCTCCGCTTCCTCCCCCATGGTCACCACCCAAGGTTCTGGGCCTACAGGAAGTTGGGCCCCTCACCACAGACCCTCCCGAGCCCCAGAGGTATACACACCTGTCAGGGCACACACAAAGCAGAATGAATCCTCAAGGGGCACACCTGCCCTTGTGCCCCAGGCACAGGGCCAGCAGTGTGGTGGCTTTCATGGGCTTCCTGGGCAGAGAGTCCCACCTGTGTGTGTCTCCGTCCCCAGGCTCCAGGATGGAAGTGGGAGGGAAGGCCAAGGCCCATCAGGGTTGCTCTCCCCTTCCCCACCCCGATGGAGATACCACCCAGGGGGTGCACTGGGACCACCCTCTCCCACCTGCTACCCTGAAGGGGGGCCCCAAACCTCCTGGGCCCTCCTCAACTGCTGTCACCCTCACTCCATATTGACTCAGCTCCCACAAAGCCGCTGGAAGAGAGGTGCCCTGGCCAGCAGAGGGCAGCAGGACTCACTCACACAAGGCAGGAGCCATGCCCCGCCTCCCTCAAGCCTGCACTATGTGGGGTGCCCTGCCAGGTGGGGTGACTGCCCCATCCACGGGCTTCTCAGTCCCCATCAGCCGGCCCAGAACAGGGCTTTCCACCCACCTCCCTCCACATCAAAGGGAATCTGCACCAGGAGATCCTGCCACCACCGCCACTACCCCCCAACTCCCAGGCTCAAACAAGGGTCAGTGAGGACCTCCAGCAGCAAGCTGAATTTTGATCCAAGAGGCTGGAGCACAAGTCCCTCACCACTGAGCCCTTGGAATGCTCGGCCGGGGCCTATACTGGCCCTCAGTCCATTCCAGGGAAAGGGGCTGCCTAGCCTGGTCTGGGGTGGGGGGGGAGGGGCAAGGAGCAGGGACAGGTTGCTGCAACCTATAGTCTTCTCAGCTGCTGCTGAGGCAGGTCCCAAGTGTGACCATGGGCCCCAGGGGGCGGATCTCAGATTCCCAAGTGGGGAGGCCCCTGCCCTTGCCCAACCTGCCTGGTGTTATTAGCAGTAACATGTGTGGGGAACGCTGGCGTTTGGGGGTCACCCTGAGACAGTCCAGTGAAAGCAGGTGCTGTTCTTGACACCCCTTTTGCAGGCAGAATTTCTGAGGACTTATCCCCGGGGCCACATGGGTGGGGTCTGCTCCGCATAGGCCTGGGCCGCCCGTCCAGTGTATCCTGGGGTCCGGGGCGCACCCTGTCCCCAAGGGGCTGCCGGAGGTGGAGCTCAGAGGAGACGTGGCGGAGGGGTCTTGGTGCCGCGGTCAGGGCCTCCTGGCCGCGCTGCTCCCCTGGGCTCTGACCGCCTTTCGCCCGGCAGAGGAACAGCTCGCTGCCCGACGAGAACAACGTGGCACGGCTGCAGGAGGAGCTGAAGGCACTCAAGGTGCGGGAGGGCGAGGCCGTGGCCTCGGCGCGGGAGCTGAAGCTGCAGCTGCAGGAGCTCTCGGACACCTGGCAGGTGAGGGCCCTAGCCCGACGCACACGCGAAGTGGCCCGTGCGGTCCTCGGGGCCGGAGACGGACCGCGCACCTCTCCCCCCAGGCCCACCTGTCCCGCGGCGGCCGCTGGAAGGAGTCCCCGCGGAAGCTGGTCCTGGGCGAGCTGCAGGACGAGCTGATGAGCGTGCGTCTGCGCGAGGCCCAGGCTCTGGCCGAGGGTCGCGAGCTGCGGCAGCGCGTGGTGGAACTCGAGACGCAGGTGGGCCCGAGCGCCCGCGCCCCGGGGGGGAGGAGAGGGGTCGGTGCCGGCGGCCCGCGCGGTGGCTAGGCCGTGACCCCCGCCGCCCCGCCTGCCCCCAGGACCACATCCACCGCAACCTGCTGAACCGCGTGGAGGCGGAGCGCGCGGCGCTGCAGGAGAAGCTGCAGTACCTGGCGGCGCAGAACAAGGGGCTGCAGACGCAGCTCAGCGAAAGCCGCCGCAAGCAGGCCGAGGCCGAGTGCAAGGTAAGCCGCCGCCCGCCCTCCCCGCCCCCGCCCCGGCCCCCGCCCCGCCGCGCCCCTTGACCCGCCCTCGCCCCCTCTGCCCCCAGAGCAAGGAGGAGGTGATGGCCGTGCGCCTGCGGGAGGCGGACAGCATGGCGGCGGTGGCCGAGATGCGGCAGCGCATCGCCGAGCTGGAGATCCAGGTGAGCGGCGGGGGCCGGGGCGGGGGCCGGGCCCCGGGGCGGGCCCTGCCCTGACCCCCCGTGACCTGGCCCGCCCCGCAGAGGGAGGAGGGCCGCATCCAGGGCCAACTGAACCACTCGGACTCGTCGCAGTACATCCGCGAGCTCAAGGACCAGATCGAGGAGCTGAAGGCCGAGGTGAGCGCAGGCTGGCGCGGGAGGGGCGGAAGCCCTGCGTGTCCCCCGCGGGTGAGGCGCGGGCGGCGGCGCCGGGGAGAGCAGCGGCTGGGGGGGGGGAAGGGGGGGGGGGAGGAGCGGCCCGGTGGCTCGGTTCCGTCCGCCGGTGAGGCCGTGCCCGCCTTCAGCGCGCCGGTTCCCTGCCCCAGGTGCGGCTGCTGAAAGGCCCACCGCCCTTCGAGGACCCGCTGGCCTTCGACGGGTTGGGCCTGGCGCGGCACCTGGATGAGGACTCGCTGCCGTCGTCGGACGAGGAGCTGCTCGGCGTGGGTGTGGGCGTGGGCGCGGCGCTGCAGGACGCGCTCTACCCACTGTCCCCGCGCGACGCGCGCTTCTTCCGCCGTCTGGAGCGGCCGGCCAAGGACAGCGAGGGCAGCTCAGACAGCGACGCCGACGAGCTGACCGCGCCCTATAGCCAGGGCCTGGACAACTGAGGCCGTGCCCTGCGTGCGGGAGCCAGGGGGCCAGCGCCGGCTCCTCCGCAGGTGGCCGCACCTGATAAACTCCACGCGCTCCGCGGTCCCGCCCACCGAAGGGCCAGGCCCAGAGCGGCGGGGCGCAGAGGGTAGGGCCGCGGTCTGAGGATCCTCAGGGTCCCCCCGGCAGGCCCGCTCTCCCCAGCAGTGTTTATCCATCTTGGTCTGTACCCCTCTGGGCCCGGTTCCCTGGAGGGTCTGCCCCTCTTAACAGCCAGGGCAGGGGATGACCCAGAGGTCCCAGGACTGGATGAGCAGGAAGCTCCCTCCTCCCAGCAGTCCCCCTTCTGGGACAAGGGTGGCCTTGCTGGGAAGGGCCCAGGAGCTAAAGGAGGCCTAAGGAAGAAGGGGCAGCTCTGGGCTGGAAGTTACCGCCCCATGATGCCCCTGGGGACCGTTGGCAGCTGGGCACAGATGGCCAGGCTGGGCTTTCCTGCCTGGTGCAGGCATCATGGCTCCTGCAGCAGAAACCAAAGTCCCCCCTACTGTATGCAGGGCCACCTGGGGTGTGAGTGGACAGCGGGAACCAGCCCAGGCCCGGGCAGTGTCTGCCCCTGCTTCTTGGGGGCCAGAGCAGCTGCAAGGAAGTGAAAAGACCCCCCTCTCCCCAGCGCCCCACATCTTCCTTTTGAGACACTCCCATCACCTTGTCTTGGCCAATGATGGAGGGGCTCCCCCACCCAAGCTAGTCTGCTCTCCAAGGGGTCCCTAGCCTCCGCATCCCCTCCTTCCCTGTGTCCTCAGCCCCAACCTCTGGCGAAGGCCAGGCCCCAGGGGAGGAGCCTTCCCAGTGGGGTTACCTCCCCTTGGCTGCTCACGGTGGTCCCGTGGTCTCTGCAGAGTCAGAGCTGAGAACGGTGCCAAAGTCCAACAATGCCCCCAGCCCCTTGCCCCCAGGGCCTTGTGACCCTTGGGCCTGACCCTGTCAGGTGCTCCTGGAGCCTGGAGCAGCGTCAAAAGCAATCTTCCTGGCACTTCCTGGGGTGGGGATCCATGCTCAGTTACCCCTTCCCGGTCGCCCACTCCTCAGTGTTAACAAAGCCTGGGGACCAGGGTGGGCATCCGAGGGGCTCTCCCATGTGCCCCCCACACTGCCCACCACCATTTTGCACACTGCCTGTTCACACTCCACATGTCGCCCAGGCGGGAAAAATGGAAAATAAAGTGTATTTACACAGTCACAGACAAGGGTACAACACGCCTGGGGGGGGGGGGGACTGCAAGCAGCTAAGAGTACCCAGCTCCTTGTCCTGAAAAGCAGTGAGAAGGGGAGCAGACTGTCCTTGCCTGTGGGAGCCTCCCACAGTCTAAGGGAATCAGGGGTAGGGGGCCCAGCAGGCCAGCAGGGATGCCAGAGAGACTGCCCAGGTTGGGGGGCAGCATGGGAGAGAAAAGGGCATGCGCTGGTTCAGTGTGAACAAAAGGTTGGAGGTTGGGGGGAATAGAATGGGGGGACAAGTTGCAAAGGACTTCAGATGTCAGGCTGACACGTGGACCCTTATGGCGTGCCAATTTTCGAAAGGGTAGCTCTGGAGATGGTGAGAGTGGGGAGGTATTGGGTGGGGGGCATGATTTTCCACCTGGGTGATTTAGCTTGTGTCTCCCCTGAGAGACACGGAGGAAGGTGGGGGCCCAGGGCTTCAGGAAGATCCGGGATCTGATTGGTGTTCATTCAGCCCACACTTCCTGAAGCCCTTCAGGGCGGTGTGCCCTGCGCCAGGCTCTGAGGAGTCACCAGTGTAGTGGAGACAGACAACGGGCTGGGGCTGGGGGCTGAGCCTGCGAACTAGTCGGTTAACTGCCCAAAAGAATCAAGGAAGGCTTCCTGGAAGGTGGGGGTGGGAGGTGGAGTCATCTCCAAAGGCAAAAGCAGAAAGCAAGACTTGGCAGGGTCAGCAGGAGGCGCATGATGCCACTGAAGAAGGAACAGGAGAGAGTGGGCCTGCTAGCCAGTCTGAGAATCCGCTTCTCAGGAGCCAGAATTTGTGCTTTGAACTGAGGGCACTGGGGAGCCATGGAGGGCTTCGGTGGGGAGGGGGCACCATCAGATGGACCAGTGTTGGGGGTCAGTCAGGAGACCAGGGCAGAACCCAAACAGCTGGGCAGTAGGGACGGGGAGTAGGGGCTCCCCTGAGGGAAGGAGGCCCAGAGAGGCAGAGCCCTTGGGGGCAGGAAGGTTGGGGAGCAGCAGAGCCAGGGATGGCAAAGGAAGCCTTCCCAGGGGGAGAATCTTAGTTGGGTCCAGGCAGATGCCAACCAGGCCCTACCCTCTGCACCCAAAGTGCCCCCACCCACGGTGGCCTGATACCTGCCAGGCAGCAAGGCGTGACACTGGTTATGCACCACGACAGCCAAGTCCCACGCATTGACCCATCACCCAACAATGGTGTGTGTCTGCACACCATTCCCATCGTACAGATTTAACGTTGAGACCCCCAACAGTTGCTGTCTCTCCTGCTCCCACAGGGTAATTCTACCCCAGCTGGCTCCCCAGGATAGGGCAGGGCCCCAGGGGAAATGTCCGAGGTTCTGCCCTGCTCCATCTTAGCAGCTTGTCTTGATGCCCTGGCTGCCCAGAATGTCAGGATTAACCCCCAGCATCTGGAAACAAGGACACCTGGGTCCTTGCAGGGCCCAGCTAGAAAGGGAATCTCTGTGATTTGCCACTGAACTCAGAGCTTGAGCGAGGGAGCATGCTTGTCCACCCCACCGCCCCCCATATACGTTGACCCCCAGGGGTGGAGGTGCACTGTCCCACTGGGAGAAGGTGGATTTTCTCCTAGGACTCCAGGCTGACATCGGGGGTGAGGACAGGCAGGACTTGGTGATCTGTGTCTGACAGGAGTGTGGCTACAGGGTGGACTACAGGGACTGGGTCTAGGGGCGAGACTGGGCTGAGGGTCCAACACGGTCCCGCTCTTTCTACCTGCCCTGTTTGTAGTCCCCACAAGGCCTCCGTCATACTTGCTATAAACCAGGAGACCCTCAGGGAGAAAAGACCCAGGGGCTGCATTTTTGGCAGCGATACTTGGGAGGAAGGGCCTGGGTGTGGCTAGAGGGGTCCAGGGTCAGGGTGACAGCTGAGAGAGGAAGGACAAGGAATTCTCCTGAAGACAGACTGGCTTTGTTGAGGTCCCTTGCTGTGGGCACAGGCAAGGATGCCTGGCTCGAGGGGCTTGAGGAGGGCATCCTGAGATGGACAGAAAGGTGAGGCCCATGGGTTGGGAGTCACAACCTTGGGCAGAGGCTGCTCCTTCCCCGCAGAACCCTCTCGGCACAGTCAGCTCCCAGGGACGAGGAATCCTGAGGCGGGGCCTGACCCAGGAGGGGCCTGTACACTACACCAGGTCTTCTTGAGGAGCCCTGGGCCCAGCTGCAGACCCACCTTCTGCACTGGAGCCTCCTCAGTGAGCGCAGTGCGCCCTGGGTTGGGTTGGGTTCGGTTGGGAGGACGCAGGAGAGAGCCAAGATCGCCCTCAGGCCTAGGCGACCCTTCCCTCCCTTTGGCACTCCCAGGTGCCAGGAAAGGGGGGCGTGCACTGTGAGAAGGGGGCTTCAGGAAGGGACGCCCTGCCCTCGCCCCGGACCTGAAAGAGCCCTTCCCACATGTCTTTCCCCCTCCCTGCGAGAGACGCCGGCTCCCTTAGGGGAGTGTAGGAAGAGTTTCGGTCGTTCAGCCACGCCAGGCACGCATCAGCTCATCCACTCGATCGTGCAATATCACTGGGCCGCTCCTCCGCCTAGCATTTCCACCATAAGTCACACAGGAAAAAGCCCAGGTTCACGCACATGCGTGGGGGCGCCGCGCTGGACCGCGGGGACCCAGCAGCCCCAGGTCCCACTCCAACCCCGCCTCACGCGCCCATTATCTTTAGTAGAGAAAAGGCACCGCTGCGTTGTGTGCGAGAGGCCTTCAGCCAGAGCTACTACCCGCTCGTGCACAGCCGCCAGCACCCGCAGGCCCAACCCCTCTCGCCGCCCCGCGGTGGACCCCCTCGGCGACCGCGAAGGCGCACAAGCTGCAGTGTCCCCGGCTTTATTGCAAACTCGGGCAGCACATGGTAGACAATACTCAGGACATGGGGTGGGGCCTAGGCCAGGGAGGGGGCGGGGCTCGAGGGGGGCGGGAGCGCGTCCAGGCCAAGGGGGCAGAACTCGAGGGGAAAGACCTTGGCCAGAGGCGTGGGTGGGACGCGAGCCTGGCCCCAAATCTAGGCCTCCGGGGGCTATGTCCAATCCACCGGGAGCCAGACTCCCGGAGGAGGGCAGGCGGGCAGTCTAAGAGAGGCATAACCGGAGGGGCGGGTCCTAAAGCAGGGAAGGGGTGTCGTGCGCGGGGCTAAGGGTCTGGCTCAGTGGAAGGTCTCCACCTCCACCACCGTCCAGTCACCCTGCGGGGAAGCCACGTCGTCCGGGGAGAAGCTGGTGACCGAGGTGATGCTGGCGCGCGACTCGTCCAGAGGAGACAACAGTTCAGCCCAGCGGCCCAGTTCGGCGTCGCTGAGCGCAGTCCGGGCGCCCCCCGCGACGCCACCAGCTCCCGCGCCCCCTGGGCCTCCGCCGCCGCCGCCCGCAGCACCCTCGGCCGCAGCGAGCAGCAGCGTCCGGCTCAGCAGGTGCTGCACGACGCTCGCCTGCAGCGCCCCCAGCGGCAGCTCGCCCAGGCGCGCCGGCTTCGCGCCACGCGAGGCCGCCGCCGCCCCTGCTCCAGCTACCACCTTCCCACTACCCGCGCCGGGGCCGGGGCCCGGATCCAGTGCGCCTGGGGCGGGGCTCGCCGACTCGGGCCCCTCAGCCTCGTAGATGGTGCACAGGCCGTCAGCGGAGCCCGACCCGGCAGCAGGAGGCCAAGGCAGGGACGCTCCTGCGGGGTGGGACGCCAAGCCGGGCCTAAGGAGCGGGAAGCGCGGCTCCCGCCACAAGGCCCCTCCCCTTCCCTCCGTTCCGCCCCAGACCCAGCTGCCCTGTCCGCGAGTGGGGAAGCCTCGCCTCCCACCCCGCCCCCCCTACCACCTCCCGACCTCGCCCCTTCCACAGCTCGGCGGGGTCCAGGGGCCGCTCACCTGGGGTGCTGCGGACCGCCAGCGGCGGGGCGGGACCTCGGCTCCAGGAGGCCGGGTGGCAGGCGGCGAGCTCCGCGTCGCCGGGCGGGGAGGCCGCGGCGCCGCCCTCGGGCCCACTGTCGTAGCCGCGCAGCTCTTCCGGCGTGCTGGTGGCGCTGCTGCTGTGGCCCGCCAGATCCGGGCCGCTCAGCGTACTGGACGGGCTGCGCGAGGGCGGTGGCGGCGGGGCCGGGGCCAGCGCCAGGGTCAGCCGTGGGCCCGGGATCGGGGCATCCGGACCTGGGGTCGGGGGGCGGCGTGGGGCCTGCAGAGGGGGTGAGTCCGGGGGAGA